TGATCATTGCAGCTCTTTCACTTTCAATGTTGTTCTTTTCCTTTTTCATTTCACTTTGTTGTTTATGAATCTCTTTTTGTAGTTGCTCTAGTTCATCTTGTCTCAGTCTTATTTTCTCTTTCTCATTTTCAAGATCATCAGTTTGTTTGGAGATGTTCAATTTAATTTGCTTAAGGTTGTTTTTCTCTCTTTGTAGATCTGCCATTGAAGACTCACTTGCAACTTTCATTTCATCCAGAATCTCATGTTTTCTCTTTGTATGTTCATCAAGATGAACAATATCTTCTTTCTCTCTCTTAAGTTCTTCAGCCATTTTTTCCAAACTGTGTCTCTCATTTTGTGTTTCTTCTTTGAGCTTTCGGATATCATCAGCTTCTCTTTGCAGCTCAATCTTCATCTGTTCTAACTTGTTCTTCTCATCTTCAATCACTTGTTTCTGAAGTGTCATCATCTTTAGGTCTTCAGTCAGATATTTTCTGCTTTGGTTAACATCATCGTTTTCTTTATTAATTTGCCATTTTTGTTCTTCCATTTCTTGTTTTTCTTTATCTAGTTGTCTTCTTTCATTCCTAATTTTTTCCATCATGTCACTCACTTCTGTCTGATGTTTGTCTAACTCAGATTGTCTCAGATCAAGCTGACTTCTGTCTTTTATTATAATGTTTCTGTCATTGTCTAGTTCCTGTTTCTGATTATAAATTTCCGTTTTCAGTTGTTCGAGTTCATGTTGTTTTTGTCTTATTTGTTCTTCTTGATTTTTAATATCATGTGTTTGCCTTGTGATGGTCTCCTTCATCTCCTTTAGGGAGGCTCTCTCTTTCTGTGTCTCTGCCAGTATGATTCCTTGCTTTTCTGCTTGCTCTGCAAATTGCTTTTCAAGATCTTCTTTGATTTTCTCAAATTCATGTTTAGTTTTCTCAAGATCATGTTTTTCCTTCTCAAGCATGCCTCTTGCAGATTGAATGGCTTTAGTTTTCACTTCAATGTCTGTGTTCATTTCATCCAAGACAATGCCTTTTCTTTTTGTCTCCTCAGTGAGATTGTCGATTTCTTCTCTCTCTTTCTGGAGTTGAGCTGTCATTTCCTCCAGTTTTTGTCTTTCCTGTTGTGTTTCTAGTCTGATCTTCTCAATCTCTTGTGTTTCTCGTTGCAGGTCAGTTTTGATCTGTTTTATCATTTCCTTCTCATTCTCCAAAGCTTCTCTCTCAAGTTTCAGACTCTCTGAATCTCTGCCTACATTAACCAGTTTTTGTTGCAGAATTTCCATGTCTCTCTTCAGCAGTTGTCTACCATTTTCCAACATTTCCTTTTCAGTCAATATCTCCTTCATCTGAAGCTCAACATCTTCAGACTTCTTTCTCAGCTCAATCATCATATCCTGTTTTTCCCTGATCATACTTCTTTCTCAGCTCAGTCATCATGTCCTGTTTTTCCCTGATCTCTTTTTGCAGATTTTCTAATTTGGACTCGTGTAATACTTTCATTTCATCCAGAATCTCATTCTTTCTCTTTGTATCTTCAGCAAGATGAACAATACCTTCTTTCTCCTTCTGAAGTTGTTCAGCCATCTTTTCCAAACTCTGTCTCTCATTTTGTGTTTCTTCTTTTAGCCTTCTCATATCTTCAGTTTGTCTTTGCATCTGTTCTAAATCATCCGTCTCATCTCGAATAGCTTTTTTATGATATTGAAGTTTCTTTATCTCTCTGTCTAGGGCTGCTCTTTTTTCGTCTATGTCAGCATTGAATGTTTTCAACATTTGGGTCCTTTCCTCAATTAATTCTTTTTCATTATTCAGTTCTACCTTCAAGAGCTCCAGTTCAGTCTCCATTTGGTGTTTCTGTGCTAGAATTTCAGACTTCTCTTTCTCAATATAAGCCTTTTCTCCTGTTGTAAATTCCATGATTTCATTTACCTTTCTCTGTTTTTGATCTATTTCAGTTTTCTTCTTTTCAATTCTGTCTTTTTCCATTGTGAGAGCTTTTCGTGTGGCTTCCATTTCATCTTGCTGCATATAAATCAGAGCTTGGAGGTGTTCAAGTTCAGTCTCTCTCAGTCTCATTTGTTGTCTCTCATTTGCGATGTTGTCCTGTTGCTCTGAAATACTATCTCTCAGTAGAAGAAGCATGTCTTTTTCTTTCTGTATCTCTGCTAGTGTGATCTTGTTCTTTTCTCTTTCTTCAACGAGCTGGGTTTCAAGATCCTCCTTCGCTCTTGCTATATCTGTCACAGTTTTCTTCAGCTCAAGTAGAGCCCTTTCCTGCATCTGTTTATTAGACTCATTTGCTTTCCTTTGCAATTCAGTTTCCTGATGCATATTTTCTAGTGTCACTTTTTTCCTGTCAAGTTCCTCTGCTAGACTCTCAACATTATCTCTATCTTTCTTAAGTTGGGTTGTTGCTTCCTTTAGCTTCTGTCTTTCATTTTGTGTCTCTACTTTAATCTTTTCAATGTCTTCAGCTTCTCTTTTTAGATCTGATTTTATCTGCTCAATCCTGTCTTTCTCATCCTCAATCATTTGTTTCTGAAGCTTAATATTCTCCAACTCTTTCACTACATCAAGCTTTGTTTGTTCCAAAGTATCCATGTCTGTTTTTATGCTTTTCCTGCAGTTGTCAATTCCTTCCTTTACATCACACATCTCCTTTCTGAGCAGCTCTAACTTTTCACTCTCCATTTTTAGTTCTTGCCTCAAATTTACCTCCATATGTTGTTTTTGATTCATAAATTCTGCCTTTTCTCTCTCAATATCATCCCTCTCCTTTTTAACCTGTTCTTTGGTTTCATCTGTCTCTTTTTTCTGTTTATCTATTTGAGCTTTAATGTCTTTCAGCCCACTCTTCTCTAGTGCAATCATCACCTTCTGCTCATCTATCTCTGTTTGCTCTTTCTGAGTTTCCATTTTTAGACTTTGCAGCTCTGCTTGTTTGTATCTTGTTTGTTCAGTGTCCTTTTCTAGATCATCTCTCTGTTGTGATATGTTCATTCTTAACTGCTCAGGAATGTGTTTCTCTTTCTGTATCTCTGCCAATGTTACCTCATTTAGTCTTTTATGTGATTCAATTTGATTCTCAAGATCTTCTTTGGCTCTGGCTATCTCTGCTTTAGTTTTCTCCAGGTCAGACTTGTCCTTTTTAAGAGTGTCTCTATCAGATTCAATTGTTTGTTTTTGTTTTCTTAGATCTCCTTCCTCTGATCTTATCCTGGCAAAAGAAATCTCTATATCTTCCTTTTCGTTTTGAAGTTTGATCGTCATTTCCTCAGCCTTCTGCCTGCCATTTTCTATGTCTTGCCTTAGTTTAGCAATAATTTCCTTTTCTTGTTGGAGCTCATTTTTCATCTTATCAAATTCCTGCTTTTCTTTGCCAGTCAATTGTTTCTGGTAGTTTAAGGTCTCAAACTCCTTAGCTAAGATGGTTCTATTTTCTTTTATATCCTCTAGATCTTTGTTCAGTATTTGCCTGCTGTTTTCAATAGATTCTTTTTCGCGGAGAACTTCTTGTTTCATCAGCTCCACTGTTTCACTTTCCCTCTTCAGTTCTACTGCAATGCCATTCACTTTTTGTCTTTCTTCCATTACATTAGTCCTCTCTTTTTCAAGTCTGTCCATCACATTCTCTAATTCTCTCTTTTGCTTTTCCATTTCAGCCTGTCTTTCATTAAGCTGACTCTTTTCTTTCAAGATAACATCCTGAATATCTTCTATTTCTTTCTGTTGTGCATGAAGTTGTGATATACGTATATTCAGGTCATTTTCTTGGTGTCTCAAACTTTCCTTCACTGTTTTAATACCATGTTCCTCTTGTGAAATGTTCATCTTCATTTGATCAAGGGAATTTCTCTGCTTCTCCATCTCTGACCGATCAATATCATTAATTTTTCTCTTTTCAGCAAGATCATCGTTTGCTCTAGCTATCTCTCTTTTGCTTTTGTCCACTTCAAACTTCTGGTTTTCTAGTATATCTTTTTCAGTCTCAATGTCTTGCTTTTGTTTTTCTAGCTCAAGGCGCATCCTCTCCAGAGCTTCTTTTCTGTCATTTCCCTCATGTTGAATTTGAACTGCCATGTCTTTTATACTCTGCTTTTCAGCTACCACCTCTTTCTTTATTCTCTCAGTATTGTCAGCCTCTTTCTGAAGGTCAGCTCGTACCTGCTGTATCTCTTTCTCAAACGATTGCCTCTGAAACTGCAAGTTTTCAAATTCTTTGTGCAGTTTAGCTTTATTTTTCTCTATGTCTTCCTCATCCATTTCTAGTGATTTCATGCGGCTTTCAAATACTTCTTTTTGCTCAATTAAATATCTCTTTTGGAGCTCCACATTTTCATATTCCACCCTCAGTTCTTCTCTCAAATTCTCCATTTCCTGTCTCTCTTTCTCCAGATCTGTCGCGTCTCTATCTCTTGCAGTCTTAACGTATTCTATTTTTTCATGTACAACTGTCCATTGTTGATCTTGGTCAGCTTGCATCTGCTCAACTTGCATCTTTTCCATTCTTAAACTGCTCTTCAGCTCATCTATTTGTTTTTGTTTGTTTTCAATCTCTGCTTCTTTTTGTTTCAGTTCATTTTCTCTCCGTCTAAAATTTTCTTTATCACTTTCAACAATGCACCTTTGATTTGAGATGGTTTCACTCATCTGCGCAAGATTGTCTCTTTCTTTCTCTATCTCTGCCAGTATAATAATGTTCTGTTCTTTTTGCTGAGCAAATTCATCTTTGAGATCTCTGAGCTTAGACTTTTCCTGTTCTAGCACATCTCTCTCAGACTCGACATATCGCTTTTCTTTTTCAACCTCCATGCGCATCTCATCCAGAGCTTTTGACCTCTTTTCAATCTCTTCAACCAGACTATCAGTGTATTGTCTTTCTTTTTGAATTTTGGCTTCCATGTCTTTTACGTGTTGTATGCCATTTTGAACAGCTTGTCTTAAATTTTCAATGACACTGGCTTCTTTTTGCAGATCAGCCTTCATGCCCTTCAATATCTCAAATGCTTTTTCCTGCTTTTCTACATCAGCTTGCATTTTATCCAGGTCCTCTCTCTTTCTTTTTGTCTCCTCCGCAAGGCTCACAATGGCATCTCTCTCTTTCTGAAGTTGCACAGCAGTGTTTTTAAGCTTCTGTCTTTCAGCTAGTGTATCTTGTCTTAGCTTCTCAGTATCTTCAGCTACTCGTTGCAGCACAGATTCAGTCTGTTCCAACTTGCTTTTCTCTTCTGCAATACTTTGTCTTTGTAATTGTATCTCCTCTGCCTGACTACCCAAATTGATTTTCTTCTGCTCCAGATCTTCTATATCTCTGATTAAAGCTATTCTGCAGTCCTCAATAAGTCGCTTCTCATTTAGTACCTCTTTTTTCACAAGCTCCACAGTTTCTAGTTCTCTGTTTAATGCATCTGTCAAGTTGCTCTCCATCTGCTGCTTCTGTTCCATTATAGCCGCCCTTTCTCTGTCAAGATTGTCTTTTTCATTTTGTGTGAACTGCCTGATGTCTTCCACCTGTGTTAGCTTTTCGGCTATTTCATCTTGGCTTTTCTGAAGTTGACTTTTTTGCATTACAACTATATTCTGAATATCCTGCATGTATTTTTGTTGTCTGTTAAGATCAGCCTGCATTTGCTGCAGTTCATTTTCTCTTTTCTTTATTTCCTCCTCCTCATTCTCAAAATCATCTTTTTGCTGTAAAATGAGTTCATTTATTTTCTCAAGAGTGTCTCTCTCCTTTTTGATCTCCTTCAGTGTCAGCTCATTCTCCTCTCTCAGGTTCTCTAGATCTTTCTTTTCTCTGACTATTCCTGCTTGTATTTGTTGCATATCACACATTTTCTTTTCTAGTTCCTCCCTCTCTTGTTTAAGCTGCTCTGCCCATTTCTCCATGTTCTGTCTTTCTTTCTGCACATCCTGGTTTAACCTTTCAATATCACTAGACTCTTTTTGCAGCTCATATTTCATGTTCTGTAACATTCCCTTTTCATCCTCTATCCTTTTTCTCTGAGCTTCTATATTTTCCAGTTCTCTAGCAAAAGTGTATTTTAGGTGAGCCTCCATGGTTTGCTTTTGTTTTTCTATATCCTGTCGAATGTGATTTAGGACATCTCTCGCATTTTCTAATTCTGTTCTTATCATATTGTCTTTTTCTCTGCTTTCTGTAATCTTAGCCTGCAGGTCATCCCATCCTTTCTGTATTTCTAGCTTTGTCTTTTCCAGCTCATATTTTGTTCGTTCTAGCTCCTGTTTTCGCAGCTCTAATTGTAACTCTATGTCTGCTGTGTTTTTTGTTGCAGTTTGCAGTGCGGCTTCTTTGAGTGAAAATTCATCCTTGCTCAGTTTTATTTCTGCCAGTTGTCTCTCAGTTGTACTTTTTTGTGCAAGTAAGTCTTCTTTAAAATTCTCCAGAGCTTGTCGCTCTTTATCCAGCTCCTCCATAGTCAAGATCATCTGATATTTTCCTACATCCTCCATCACATCAGTTTGGACTTGTACATTAACTTGTTTAATCTCCATCAATCTTGCTTTTTCCAATTCACATTTCGCTCTCTGTAGATTTACTTCCATACTCTCTAGTTCTTGTTTTCTTTTATCTAGCTGCTCCTTCTCTTTCCATATTGTATCTAAACCTCTCTGGTTTTCTTCTCTCTCTGATTGCAGCAGTCTTTCCCAGTTTTGTAGACTCACTCGTTTCTTTTCCATCTCTATTTCCATCTCTTGTAATTTTGTCATCCTCTCTTCAGCTTCATTCTTTACCGCTCGTACATCCTCTTTTGTTTTCTCTAGTTCATGTTTCTCTTTTAAAATTATTTCTTTATATTGTTCCAGTTCTTGTCTTTCTTTCTGTACATCACTCACAAAGTCTTCCACTTTAATGGCAGCTGGTTCTTCTGTTTTTGCATACTCCTGGCTCTCGGTTGGAATGATGGCAGGCTGAACCTGAAATAAATGGTTCTTGTTTGCATTTGCATCTCTGTCCCAATATTTTTTTTAGATATGCAATGTATACAGTATACAGTTATTCTGAACTCTTTGTCTAATTCGTTTTCTCGTTTCACTCAAGATTGTCATGTTTAACATCCTTGTAAAATAGGTTATGGACGCTTCATGTTGACTTTAAGAGTCCATTTGCTGCCGACAATATTGATAATGCAGATAATATAATGACACATCTGTTAAATGCAAGTAAATGATGGCTTACCTTTTCTTTGCCTGTCTTTTCTAGAGCAATGCATTCTTTCTGTCTCTTTATCTCTTCTTTGGCCTGTTCTATGTCCTCCAAAGCATTTTTCACATCTTCTCTCATCTGCTCCACCATATCATTCTCTTTAATGGTCTCCTCCAGCCTCTTCTCCAGTTCTTCTCTTTGCCGCTGCATCATATTTCTCACGAGTTCTAGTTCGTCCCGTTCTCTCATAATCTTTTCTTCCCTGTATTCAATCTCTCTTCTCCTTCGTTGAACTTCATTCTTCAGTTGCCTCATCTCATCCCTGTCTCTCTTCATCATTTCCTTGTTGTGTTCTGCCTCAGCCTTAAGACCTCGCAGCATTTCCCGGATTTGTTCAATCTCCAAAATGAGCCTGTGCATCTCAGCATTCATCTCCTCTTGGTCTGTTGTCTCCATCTGACTTCCTGCCATTCGGCTTTCAATCTGGAATTTTGCTTTCCGCACCATTTCTCTCGTCCCCTCAATCTGCTGAATAAGGTTGATTATTGTGAGGTTCATCTGTCCTTTCTCTTCTTCTAAATCTCTCTCCTCCATCCTAAGTTCAAACTCCTCTCTCGCTCTTTGGATTTCAGCTTTAACTTGCTCCATTTCATATTTCTGCCTCTCCGTCTCCGCTCTTTTTTGTTCCATCTCGTCTTTTGCCCTTTGTATCTCCATCCTCAGTCGTTTCATCTCGTCCTTCTTCCTCATGGTCAATTTCATCCTGTGGTCAAGTTCTTTCTTCTTCCCTTCCATTTCTCTCTTCATCAGCTCCATTTCTCCAATCTCTCGTTTGGTTTTCTGCATCCTTTCCTCCAGCTCTTCTATTTGTCTTTGTATTTCCTGTTTGACAAGCTGCATTTTGTCCATCTCTGCTTTTGCTAGCTCCATTTTCCTTTCAGCATCCTCTTTTTGTTTTAAGATCTCAGTCCTCATCAGTTCCATCTGGTATCTCTCACTCTTTGCTTCCATCATCTGGATTTCAATGTCTTCTTTCTGTTTTTGGAGGTCTGCTCTCATCTTTTCAAGATTAGTCATTTGCAGCCTTGCCTTTTCCATCTTTACGTCGATGTCCTTCTTCTGTTTTGTTAACTCCATCTTCATGTCTTCAATCTCACCCATCTCCTCCTTCATAGCTTCCATCTTCCTCATCATCTCCCCCTTCTCCCTGTTCATCTTCTCACGTTCCTCATGCTCTCCCTTTTCAGCCTCATCCCACAACCTCTCTATCTCTGCTCTCACCCTGTTAATCTCATCCTTGACCTCTTCATATGTGTCTTTCCCTCTCCGCGTTTTCACACGGATCTTCTCCAGATATTCTCTATCGTGCTCCATGTCCTCTCTCATCTTCCTCAAAGTGTCCTCTCGTCGTTTTGTCTCCTCTAACCTTTTATTCACTTCCTCTCTTTGTTCCTGGATCTCAATCATAAGACGTTCAGCTTTCTCTCTATCTTGTTGCGCTAACTCTCTACTTCTGTCCATGGTCTCTGTGTCCAGAAATAGCTGAGTCTTGATCTTCTCAAGTTCTTCTCTTAATCTCTGCACTTGAGCACTCTGTTCTACATCATATCTCATCATTTCATACCTTCGTTTTTCTAGATCTTTCTTCTCGTTCTGGACCTGAACTCTAATCTGTTTGAGCTCCTCTCTCTCCTTGTCCATCTCAGCTAAACGCTTTTCCTGATCTTCCTTGTCCTTCAGCACAGCTATTTTCATTTGCTCAACAAACTCTTTCTCTTGCTGTGTATCCTCCAGCATTTTCTGCAGGTTCTCTTTTTCAGAATGCCTCAACTTTTCTAGCTCATGTCTGGCTGTTTGTATCTCTTCATTTATTTGTTCTAACTCCTCTGTTTTTTTGTGTATTTCATCTCTTTGCTCCAACGCCTCTGTTATGGTTTCATACCGTCTCTTTTCTGACTCTTCCATTTGCTTTTTTAAGAGCATCTTAGCCTCTTGGACTGCAAGTTTGGCATGGTTTGCCTCCTCTTTTTCTTGTTTTGCAACTCTAATCCTGTTCTCTATTTCTGCCTTTTGTCTTTGTAGCTCATTTCTCATGCTTTTGATTTCATCTGCTTCTTCTTTAGCCTTTTCTCTGCTGTTATTAATCTCTCCTCGCTCTTTCTCCATCTGTTCTATCATTTTTGTCAACTCCTCTCTCTTTGCTTTAGCCTCATCCGTCTGTTTGATAGCGGCAAGTTTGTCGTCTTCTACCTGAAGCTTCAATTTTTCAAGACTGTCCTTCCACTGCATGAGCTCCATCCTGCTCTCCACAATGTTTTTCTGAGATCTTTGGACCTCGTCCCTTAATTTTTCCAGTCTTTCCAGTTCATGCTGAGTTTTCGCTCTGAGTTCGACTTCCTCTTTCTCTGTTTCATGCCACCTGCTCTCCATTTCCTCCTTCACCCTGAGGATTTCGCTTCTGAGGAACTCGCACTGTTCGGTCTCTCTTCTCACCAATTCTCTCTTTCTTTCCAGCTCCTCCCGCTCATCCTCCAACTCAGCCTTTGTCTCCTCCATTTGTTCTTTTGTTTTTTGGATCTCCTCAATTTTCTTCTCAGTATCTTCAATTTGTCCTTGAATTTCAGTCTTCATTTTTTCCATTTTGTCATTTTCCCGGATTGTGACTTCTTGGCTGTTCTCAATATCTTCTTTGGCTCTGTCCGTCTCACGTTTAATTCTTTCTAACTCTTGTCTCTCCCTCAGCATCTCCTCTTGTCTTCGGTTCAAGTTGTCTTTTTCAGCCTTGATCTCGGCTTTGATTAGTTCTGTAATTTCTCTTTCTTGTCTGGCTTCTTCTCTTATCTTAAAACTTTCTTCCTTCTCCTTCAGTAGCTTTGCTTTCTCCATATCGTTAGCCCTTTGTATCTCTACTCTTAAACTCTCCAGCTCGTCTCTCTCCCTCTGCAGTCGAGCTCTGTGCTCTAGCTCCTCTGTCACTGTCTCATACCTCTTCTTCTCCATTTCTTCTTTAGCTTTTCGTATATCATCCTTCTGTTTTTCTAGAATATCTTTGTCCTTCTGCATCTCTATTTTCATATGTTTCACCCTATCAGTTTCTCTTTTTATTTCCTCAACTCTGGTATCCATAGATATCATGTGATTTTGTATGTTCACTTTGGCCTGTCCGATCTTTTCCCATTCCTTTTTGACCAGCTCTCCATTCATTACCAACTCCTCTCGACCTCTCTCAATTTCATATTTAATCTCTTCCAGATCCTTTTCTTTTATTAAGATATCTTGCCATTTCTTTTCAATGAGGTTGCTTTCTGTAAGCGCTTGAGCTCTCAGCTGGTTTATTCTCTCATTCTCTTGTTTTGAAAACACTCTGTTTCTTTCAACCTCTTCTCTTGCTCTTTGAATCTCGTCTTGCAGGTATTTCAGCTCATCTTTCTCTCTTTGGATTATAGCTCTCTGTTCCAGCCCTTCTTTCTCTGTTTCATGCCACCTTTGCTCCATTTCCGTCTTTACTTGCTGTATGTCAACTTTAATCTGCTCAAACTGGTCTCTTTGCCTCTTGATGTCATACTTCTTTCTCTCCAACTCGCTTTTCTCCTCCTCTATTTCAGCTTTCATCTGCTCCATCTGACACTTTGCTTTCTGTGTTTCCTCAATCTTCATCTCTATCTCATTGATCTGAACTTGTATGGCACTTTTTATTTGTTCCATTCGTTCCATCTCGTACTTTGTGCTTTCACGGTTGCTCTCCAGCTCCTCCTTCTGTCTCAGAGTCTCATATCTGATCATCTCCAAGTTCTGTCTCTCTCTGATAATTTCATCATGCTTTTGCTCTAGGGTGGTTTGCTCAGTTTGGAGATCAGATCTCATTTGCTCAATCCTCTCCCTCTCTCTATTTACCTCTTCTTTATTATGATCCATTCTTTTGCGGATGTGGTCCATCTCGGCTTTCATGTGAGTAATAGTTCTCTCAAGTTGTCTTTTCTCTGTGGTCATCCTGACTATCTCATCTTGCTGTCGCTGAATCCTCTGTCTCATGTTGTCTATCTCAGTCCTCTCTTGCTTAGTTCCTTCCCAAAGGTTCTCAATCTGCTCAATGGCACGCATTGTTTCCAGTCTACGCCTTTTTAGAGAGTCTTTTCTTTTCTGGATGTCACTTGAATGTCCATTTTTGTCATCCTGTCTTCTTTTTTCTCTGGGAGAACTGGGTGGACTGATTCTCTCTGTTTGCGTATGCTTGCTGTTGCGTTGTCTCCACTCTGCAAAAAATGTTTTAAATTTAAATTAAATTATAATAATAAATAAATAAATATATATATATATATAAACAAATTATTATTATTATTATTATTAATAATCATAATCATAATAAATATTCATGCACAGGTTTATTTTTCATACAACTTTAATTTTGTAATAAGTTTGTAGTGCCATGTCAATAATGACCATGACTTAATTAACTTAGTGATGATAATTCACAAACTGGACAGATCCAGTTCTTGTTAAATGGCACTATTGCTATCCACTAAAATTAATTAGATTTTCTAACCTAGTGCTTGAATCAGTTCAGGCTCTGTCATTCTCAGGATGAGATGGAAGGACACACTGTTTAGAGGTGGCTCTCTTTCCAAAGCCTCAAACAGGAGCCGCATTGCCTCCTGCTGGGTTGGAGCAGCCTGCACTTGTTGAGCTGCTGCTTCATGGATCAGACTTTGGGAGATAACAGCCTCAGCAATGTCACTGACCCGAGTCGCTCTCGTAATTATCTGCTCCTTGAATTCTGTCAGAAAGTCTCCAACTGTTGGGAAGGAGAACATTTGCACTGCATTAATAAACAATGCATGAAACAATCACAATTACATTTTGATTAAATTAAGTAGTGCAGTGAACTTTACCGTAATCTCTGGATTCTGCCATGGCTGCTTGCTACCTGATTTTAAAAAGGCTGAATTGTGATCTGAAAATTAATAGAAATTAATTCCATTGTGTACTACAGTATTAAAAAGTAATAAAATATAATTAAAAATAAAGGATAAAATAAAGTGTACAGAAATGTAAAGGTGAAGTTATTTGAGTGTTATACAGTTTTCAAAAGATTTTAACTGTGAAATGTATTATGAAATAGAGAAAAACAATAAAGCAAGATATACATTCAATCCAGATCATTTTTATACATGAGTATTAAGGATGCAGAAATAGGATTGCTGCATTTTTTTATAGACTTGCATTGTTTTCTTGACAAATGTTTTTTTTTTCCTTAAACTTAATAAAACACATTTTGAAGTTATAAATAAAATGAATATTAATATGTTTTACAAGAAAATACTATTTCAGTTTTTCTTCTTCAAAATTTCATGTTTAATTTGTTGCCATGTCCTTATAATTGTTTGTGAAATTTACTAGCCATTTCTGAGTGAAAAGTTTTCCTATATCATTTTTTTTCTTCTAGTGTAGCTAAGATGTGACTTAAGGAACTGATATTATTTTATAAAATTGTTTAAAAGATTCTTACCTTTTGTGTTATTACTGTATTGAATTAGTTCTGTAAAAAGTTGTGGTCTGATGATGGAGGCATATTGCTCTAGCAATGGTAAAGAAGGTGACTTTAAACATTTAAAAACAAATCTTATCTTACTTTAGCACATGCTTGATGTCTATGTAATTTACGTAAAATGGCACGGCTTTGGGTTATCATGCATTTGATTGGCTGTGGGTGGTACAACTTCTTCTGTCTGGTCTTCTCTGATAAACGCAGTGTATGACAGTACAGGTCCACCCCTGACATGGTAATGTGAATTATCTACTGCAACACCCACTTGTACTAACTGGTTTGGGAATAAGTGCATACTAAATGAGAGCCAAAATTATGTCACCTCGAGTAAATGTTTGTTTGTTTGTACTTGTATTTTCCACATACTTGTTTGTGCAGTATATATACTGTATATATACATATATATATAGGTATGTAAATAGTGAAAGTAATGCAGAGAGCATATGTATAGAAGTAATGGGTATACGGGGGTAATCAGATTAGTAAATTTGTATAATCCTTGTTCGGAATTATCAGTAGGCATTCTGAAAAGTGCCATGGGAGAATAATCAAACAAAATGATTATGTGTGGTGATTTTAATGCACACGATAGTATTTGGGGTAGCAGGAACAAAGATAAAAATGGTGAAGTAATAGAAGAATTCATGGAAGAAAACTCTTTAGTGTGTCTAAATGATGGCAACCCAACAAGAATAGATAAGAGGTGCAATATCATGTTTAGATATCACAATAATTTCAGCATCATTAGCTGGTAAATGCATATGGTCAGTATCTAAAGATAATATTGGAAGTGATCATTTTCCAGTGATCGGTGAAATTCAAAATACGATTTAAATACAAAATTGTAATTTTGGTTTAAGATGGATATATAAAAAGGCAGATTGGGACAAGTTTCAAATGTTATGTGAAGAACAATTTGAAAATGTCAGTGATGATAGGTATGGTAAAGTAGTTAAGGGCATTTATTTTGCAGTATCACAATCACGCTAGTAAGTGGTACAAGTAAAACAAAGAATGTACCTTAGTGGTCAGATGAATGCTCGAAAGCAATTAGAGAAATGAATAAATCATTTAAATTTTTAAAAAGAACACTCACCCCAGAAGCAGTCATAGATTATCAAATGAAAAGAGCTTATGTTAAAAAGGTTATTAAAAATACGAAGACGACAGGATGGCAAAGCTTCTGTAATACAATAGGGAGGGAAACCGAAATAAATGCAGTCTGGCGTATGATAAAGAAGATGAATGGAATTGATAGCTTCAGAAAGATACCTGTAATGGAGGAAGGTGGGACGGTAGCCATTACAAATAAAGATAAGGTCACAATAATGTTGGCTCAATCATTTGCTAAAGCTCATAGCATTGAAAACTTAGATGATGCATTCTTAAGACGACAACAAATTATGAGTATATATGGAAATATATACAAGAAAAAGCAAGATTTTAATAGTATTTTGGATGATGAGTTTAATTATGTTGAATTAAAATCAGCTATTAATAATTCAAAGAATACAACACCAGGTAAAGATATGATATGTTATAATATATAAACGAATCTACCAGCTAAAGCATTAGAAGCATTATTGGAATTGTATAATTATATATGGAATGAGGGTATCCTTCCTAAGCAATGGAAGACTGCAATTGTGCTTCCTCTAGCTAAGCCTGGGAAAGACATAACAAAACCTAGTAGTTATAGACCCATAACACTTACCTCTACGCTATGTAAAGTCACGGAAAAAATGATTGAGTAGACTGAATTACATTTTGGAGAAAAGCGAAATGTTATCAACTTTTCAAAGTGGATTTAGGAAAAATAGATCTACAGTAGATGCTTTGATACTATTTGAAAATGAAGTTTAAAAGCCTATATAATGAAATAATACATGTTTACAGTATTCTTTGACAGAAAATGCTTATGACACTTTGTGGAGGGAAAGTTTGCTAATTAAACTGAATAAATTAGGTGGGTAATTTTATAACTGGGTTTTAGACTTTCTATTTGAATGTACCTTTCAGGTTAAAATTAGAGAAGAAATATCAGATCCTTATAACATTCTAAATGGAACTCCACGGGGTAGTGCAATTAGCCCAATATTGTTTAATTTAATGACTGATGTTTTTGATAAAAAAAATAAATAAACAGGAATAGGATTAGCACTTTATGCAGATGATGGAGCATTATGGAAGAGAGGACGCAATATTAAAAATGTAGTTAAAGGCATACACGAGTCAATTAAAAAAGTAGAGGAGTGGTCCCTGGACTGGGGTTTAAAATGTTCAGTTTCAAAAACAAAATATATGTTATTCACTAAGAACAAGAAGATTGAGCATTTAGATTTGAAGTTGTATGATCAAACATTGGAAAGAGTACCTGTTTTTAAATACCTTGGTTGATGGTTTGATGAAAAATTAACATGAAAACTGCATATAAGTAAAATTGCATGAAAATGTAGAATGATCATAAATTGCATGAGTACGGTTGCTAGTCACAATTGGGGAGCTAGTCGTAGTGCATTGTTGTGTATGTATCAAGCATTGATTCGTTATTGCTTTGACTATTGATGCATTGTATGTGGCCCAGCAACCAAATCTTTACTGAAAAAATTAGATATCAATCCAGAGCATTAAGAATATGTTGTGGAGCAATTAAAACATCCCCTGTAGATGCAAGTGGGATAGAAATGGGTGAGATGCCTGTTGAACTGACAAAGACGTATTGGGTGAAACTTCAACAATCTGTAAGTACTCATATCACTCGTAAAGTACTGGAGGAGTGCTGGGAATATTTGTATGATGGATGATGTAGTTTTGGATGGAAGAGTAGAATATGGGCCAAGGAGTATGGCAAGGATAATACGATCTTCTGTCCTAATGTACCACTCACTGATGCCCCACTATGGAGAGTCCCTGAACCACTTGTAGATTTGAGTTTAGTAGACAAGCACCAAAGTGAATGCATTGGAAAGGAGGTTAATGCTATTCTAAATAATAAAGTTTATTCAACATTACAAAAATTTTCGGATGGATCTAAGGAACCTGTTAGTCAAAAGGTTGGAAAGGGAGTATATATTCCAAAATTTAAAGTACGAATTAGTTTGAAATTGCCAGATGTTTTATCAGTATACACTGCAGAGTTAACAGCTATAATAATAGGACTACAGGGTTGAACAAGTCAGACCAAATAAAGTGGTAATATGCTCAGATTCTTCTTCAGCTTTAATTAGTATAGCACATGCGAGATCAGACAGAGAAGATTTATTAATGGAAGTGTATCTATCTTTATACAGATTGAAAGAGGCTGGGATAATGGTATATTTTTGTTGGGTGCACATGGTGGGGTATCTGGTAATGAAGTTGCTGATAAACTAGCAAAAAAAGCACTAGACAAGATGGAGGTGGATGTTAAAGTGCCTATGGGGAAAAAGGAGGCAAAGTCAATTTTAAAGTTAAAAAAGTTAATGAATAAATGAAAAATTAGATGGGATAATAGCAGCACAGGGAGATGGTGTTATAATATTACGCAGACAGTAGGGAGGATAAATTGTCGGAAGAAATAGGAAAGAGGTGTGGCTGTCTAGATTAAGTCTGGGACATAGGCTACAGGGTTGAAATCAACACTGGCATTTATGGGTTTACATGTTTACATGGGTTTATGCAATGTATGTGGTGTATCTGAAAATGTATATCATGTACTTTTTAGGTATGGTAAATATAGTGTATATCGTGACATATTATTTAATCACTTTGGGGAGGAAAGAATGACACATAAAGAGCACCAATTAAATACATACCCACCCAGCACCAGACGTCATTTGGACGTCGTTTTTTGGGCTAAATCAAGTCATTTTGCATTCAAGAAACCTGGCTTCGACCTCACCTTGATTTATTATACCTGGATATGAGTCTGTCAGGTTTGATAGAGGTGGAAATCAAGGTGGAGGCTGTGCAACATTTGTAAGGAGTTGTGGAATATCTGAAGGCTACAGGGGTATATTATAGGATTTAGATAGTAGTGCTATAATGTTTATTTATAAAATATATATCTTTTTTTTTTTATAATGTAAAGTGCATTCAGTGAGTTATAATCCATGCTGCATACTCCGATACAGTAGGTGGCGGTATGCACCTGATAAGTCATGGTTGCAATCCGCCATAAAACTAACAAGAAGAAGACGGAAGCGCAGACCAGCGGCGAGCTGCAGCCAGAGGCTGTGTATTTTTCACCAGCGTGTGTTCTTGTTAAATTGACAAAACGTCTTACGCAATGAGGTATCACTTGTTTTATTCTTCTTTAAATAAAATAACGTCTGCTTGATTAAGTTAAATAGCGAGGTTCATCAAACCGTAGCAATGTTTTGTTTATTTTTGTTGGTTGAAAGCTAGCCCGGTGCCTGTTAGCATGTTGTTCTGCTAGCCGCCGTGCTTTTGACGAATAAAAGAAATACAATGTATTTATTATTGAAGTGCATGCTTTAAAACTGATTAAACGACGCGTTTGGATTTAATCTTTATTTAGTATTTTTAAACGCTATATATCCGAAAAACGAGACTGTTCATTCATAAATGAATGAATGAACAAACGAAAGAACGAAGAACCGAGCATTAACATGAACAATGATGCTCGTTTCACCACCTGTGATTGACTGTTTTCTCATCGGTTATTTTTTGTTTGGCTCGTAAATTAATCTTTCACAAACATTTTGAGATTTTTTTTTTTATTTAAAAGTTTTTTTCGCATATTTTATGTTTTTCTTTTTAATTTACTGAAATTATTGCTTTTTTTCGCAGAGGAGATCGTGGCAGGGGCCGAGGTGGCCGGTTCGGCTCCCGCGGAGGTTTGGTGCAGGGGTGCGTTGTTTATTATGCATATGCTTGTTTTTTTTTTTTTTTTATTTAATTGGCTTACTTTAATTTCTTGATATTGACTTGACATTGCCTATGCCTTCTGTTCTCTCAGGTATCGGCCCTTTGTCCCTCACATACCATTTGACTTCTATGTTGTAAGTACAGTTCTACACAGTGATTCTTTGCTTTGTGAAACAAT